GTGTTTGAGTCTGGGCCACCTGCATTAGTGTATCAGTTACAATTGATCACAGAGTTCAACGGAAGCAAGGCTGAGTATCAACAAACATTAATTTTCTGAAGAGGAAATCAAATGTTTCATTGTGTTTACACAATGCATTACTACCCACGAGTCTCTCTCTCCTGTCATGGCTGTTTACTCACCAGTCATACAGGCAGGATCTGGTTCCACGTAGTCCCATCAGAGTCAACCTTTGGCCCACAGTTAGTTCAGAAATCTCTATGAGGATAAGTTTGCAAATTTGCGGAGCTATATTAGGAGCAATTCTGGCCATGACTTTTCTGCCACCCACAATCCTGCAAATCAGTGTGAGATCAGAGTGCTGTTAAACTTTATATGAGAGTTTATATTAAAAGCATTCCTGCTTATGCGGCCATACATGAGCTACCATGAAAGGATTTATTACAGGGAATACGGAAAAAATGGCTTAGTGGTTATGTGATGCAGTGTTCAGGATCTTCAGGCTTTCAGTTACAGGGTGGTTGCTTTGATCCACAGTGATTTGGGGTCTCACTGTCTACCCCCTCTTCCATCACATTTCATCAGCAAGCCATGGATTTGAGCATGAAACATTTGACTGAATCAGCAGACCGTCATTATAAGGGCAGCTCAAGACAACACACTTCTAACATATCTGACGCACATCAAAATGAAAAAAACATCTTTGGTAGGCGCCTTTTCTGTTTAAATTTCCTCTTTTAATCCTGTATGTCCTCACTAGATAACAAGGCTTTGTAGAGAAGGTGAGATGGAATATGCCATTGGTCATGGCTACTGTCTCTAGCAACGGTGAAGAGTTAAAATGTGAATTTATTGCTGTCTTGGCCCTCTGCCAAATGTGTACAATGTTGTTTACTGCAAGAAGAAAAGAGAGGGCTCTTCCACATTTGCGCTGCTGTCTAGTGGATATTGCTGTAGGCTATTTTGAGGCAACATTAATTGATTTTTTTGGCCACTTGGGGACAGTGAAACAAGCTGTAAACACAACATTGACATAGTATGATCATATAAAATTGTTAGCAAACAACTCTGTTCAGAGGCTAGCTATTTCCCCTTGATTCGTGTCGTTGTGCGAAGCTAAGCTAACAGGCAGCTCTCTGTAGCTTTGTATTTAATGGACAAAAATTATGGTCTCGATCTTCTCATCAAACACTCGGCAAGAAAGCGTATTTCCAATAATGTTGACCTATTCCTTTAATTGTAAAAGTATTGATTGGAGCAGCTTTAAAACAATCCTCATGTCGATCTAATTTATATTGGCCCCTTTGGAGGCTGACTGGATGATTAAGTTCTTCCAAATAAAAAAAAAACTTAAGAGAATCTGTGAGATAAGACACCAGGATGATATTACCAAGAACATCATTCACACATAGCAGCATTATCAATCACTCATATGCTTCATTATCAGGCTTTCATGGGCTGTCTGAGACTTCCCTTTGGGACTGCTCCATCTGTGGCTGGACTGCACGAAGCCAAATCAAATTATGGACCCAGAGAACGGTGTTGAAACACAGCATACCACATCTCCCCTGTGAATCCTGCACCTCTTCATAACAATCTCCGATAAGAGTTTGGGAGGGAAAGAGCATTATCCTCTACCCCATGGCTAACTTTCTCCCATCGCCTTATCAAAGCTGAGCTATGCCCAACAAATCAACTTGGTGGGAAAGCTAAAATGTATCCCAGAACTGGGGTGGTTATGATAGTTGTGCTCGTTTCACTTGTATGATTTGAATGACGTAAATTAACAAGGCACTGTATACTTTGATAATTTGAATCCTGACATCAAATATATCAGGACATTCTTCTTCTGCAGTTTCCCCCACCAGCACCGTCTCTCTTCTAGGCTCAGCTACTATTATACACACCACATTAGCCACATTAGAATAACATGGCTGTAAAAGTGACCACGACCAGTTTCTAGAGTTGTGGTTTCAACTACTGACTCTGATTCCAGACCATGCAGGGTGTTGTCAGTTAAACTGGTATTAGCGATGCAAGAAAAACTGCAAAATCACCCACTCTGACACTAGCATGACAGTGGCTGACAGGGACATATTGATGACCTGTAGCTTATAAATCACCTCCTAACATGGAGTCTTTGAGTCACAGCCTTCATTCCATGTTTATTCCTACTTCGAATGACAGTGAGTTTTCTAAACAAACATATTTGCTGATGAAAACCACAGTTTCCACATGAACACATTGTGCCCATCTTCAGAGAAAAGAATCTGCCCTGTATGGGCTGTTGCTGATTCCAGAGGAATGTTTACAATGGTGTGGCCAGAGTGTTTGATGCCTGAAATGGAGATCTTGAATTATTTTCTCATAATATCCGGGAAGGCAACGCCAAGTTGTACCACAAGTCATCTGACTGGCAGACAGGGGAAAAATCCACCGAATTGAAACAAGGTTTTATTATGGCAGGTTGCCGTGCGTTCATTTTATGAACCACTTGGATGTGATAGTGAGTTATTTAATTTAGTGCAGAAAAGCACAGTGTGTATTTATGTGACACATTGTGATGTCTCATCAGTCTCTCTTTGCTAGCACTGTGAGACTTGAAGCATGAAAATACGTCTGACAGCTGTGGGGAAAAACATATGCAGCTGATAAGCTTGAGTTAAAACAAATGGGTGTTCAGCTGGAGGTGATCACAAAATATTTCTACCAGGAGAAAGAAATCAAATTAGAAATTCCAGGTCTTCAAAGTTTTGTCCCTTGCAGCAGCCCACATCTTGTGTCAGCATAACAAAAATGTATGGTAATGAGTTCAAGAGTTCTTAATGAAGCCACATGCATATGTTCACAACATGGACTTAGGACAGGGTGTAAGACAAGAGTATTACTACTATTGCGTGTTGTACTATTAATGTAAGTTCACTTATCCCTTTGGGCTCATTATTCTTTCTGACATCTGCAAAATCAATAACAAATGCCAAAATCATGACTGATAGCATGAGTGAGATTCCAACAGGGAACTAAATTGGGAAATGCTGCCACCTAGTGAGCCTGTTCGGCTGATAACTGATATAACTTACAAGGTCATGAAACAACTTTAAATACAGCTGTTTAATACCAACCAAACAACCCAAATTACAAATGTATTGTTTCATAGAAAACCCCATAGTAGAAATTTGTATGAAAACAACAAAAAAACACGTTCAATCAAGAAACTGGTTTAATGTTTCTGCCTGAAGAGGAAAGGCTTTATGTAATTATGGTAAGAAGGAAGATGATGCTAATTTTCTGTTTTATTTCTCATTATATATTAATTTAAGTGGTAAGCTTTTCAGTAAAAATAATTCAGCTCTAATGATTTTTGTTGATTGGATGATTATAAAAGATTTGTTGTTGTGTGTTAGAAAGGTAGCCGTTTTTGCAGAGCTGGGGAGAGGAGACAAAGTCCATTATTTGCAAAGTAATATTGTATATATAGTTTTGTCCTTTTTAAAATATATATAGATATTATTAGAACACTGGGAAATGACTTATGGAAAACTTCTACACTTCTATATTGATCTAAACAAGGAAAAGCAGCGTTCAGTTATTATGCTCCGTATATCTGGAACAAACTCCCAGATAACTGCAGGTCTGCTGAAACTGTCAGTTCTTTTAAACTAAGACTGAAGACTTTTCTTTTTACCATTGCTTTTAATTAAATATTTAAGATTTTTCTTTTTACCACTGCCTTTAAATAGTAGATTGATAACTTACACTGCACTGTAACTTTTACTGTCCTGTTTTCTTTTTCTTTGTTTTTAGCTAGAGAAATGAGTAGGTAATTGAGTGAAAAGATAACGAGAGTGAGATTGAACAGAGTGAAGGAAGTGGTCTTAAACCTCACGCCTGAGTGATTTGCAGGAACCTCTGTCCACCTGTAAACATGCAGGTGGGTCCAGAGTATAACTGGATCAAAGTGGCCTGCGGACAGACATGTCCTGGTTTCTCTGTAGTGTCCAAGGGTTTTTGGAGTTTCACTGGACCCACAGATTGCTGGACCTGAATACAGACTAGCTAGACAGAGTGGATTAAGTGTACTTCTCTATTTATTCTCTTTTCAAAATAATTGTAACTCAGTTATTTGCTCAACCCCTCAGCCTGTTTTTATTTTCCATTAAACTCTTTTAACCCTGATTGTACACTGCACTGTAACTTTTATTATATTTTAATGTGTATTTTTTCAATTTCCCTGTTGCTTTTATGTTTTATGTAAAGCACTTTGAATTACCTTGTTGTTGAAATGTGCTATACAAATAAACTTGCCTTGCCTTGATACAGTTTGAAACTTCACTTTACATTTATCCTTCAGGATGAACTTGCTTAGTGTCTAAGGATTGAGGGTCATATGCTATACAGATTGTAATGCCCCATGAGGCAAATTTGTGATTCATGATATTGGGCTGTATAAATAAAATTAACTTGACTTGACTGAGCTGCAGCTAACCTCTGATTACGTCCACTGAAAGTCACTACAGTTAAATTTAATTTGATCTCTTCATCTATTGGGTCAGGACAGGTTATATTGCACCACATAATATTAAGTCCTAATATGGAGATAATAAAATTATGACTGGAATAAATACATCGGGGGCTTATTTTGTAGAAGTTTCACAAATGGACAGAAATAGAGATATTAAATGATAAAAGTTGACTACAAGCTTTAAGAACATGAAGAACTCCAAGACTCCAGTTCTGTCTGCAACCACTTGGTGCTGCTCTCTCAACATGCATTATGCTGCTGAGGTTTATAAAGCACATGCCATTTAGGGATAATAAACTTAGTGGATGCAGACTCATTTTTCATAAAGTTAACTTATAAGTCAATTTTTCTTATTAAATCTATATCACAAGCACAGAGGAGTCGATGGACATATAGAGAAGCACTACAGTTAGTGAGTCATTCTGAAACGTTAAGATAATTAAGGTGTGAATTGTGCAAAAGAGACTGCAACTCGATATCAGTATTATGTCTTCAATATGTTATAAATTCAGTGAAGTTATAGAGCAAAATCTAATGACTGCCTTAGCAAATATATGTATATAATACCACAAATCCTTCTTAATTATTGAATTTTAAAATTTGACAGTATTTGTATGTTTACAAAGTACAACTCAGCCTTCAAAGACACTGCAAGCGCCAAAGCATAAAAAACAGTTGCAGTGAGCAACTTACAGTCTTGAAACAAGTTTCACCAATTAACAATGTGGAAATACAACATTTGGTTATAAGGATTAAAGGACATGTGTGCTTTATATCAAAAGTGAATAACAACATCAACCCTAACTATGTGACATTAAAATCTGGGAACTGTCATACAATACATGGAACAAGATTCAACATGGGGAACGCAATCCTGAGCTGTACCGTTTCCCAGCTTCTTTACGCTCTGTCAAGTAGTGGCCAGAAACATCCCAAAACTCATCATCATCATCGTTAGAGCGGAGCAGGGGCAGAGGATGATCCTTTGTCTTGAAAGGAAAAATCATCACTACCGCCCTCACCTCCTCATCAATCAGTCCTCCAGAATCAGCACCAGAGGCTTGGGCATAGGATGAATGCTGACATGCTGAGAAAGAGACCGAAAATCCTGAGAAAAAACAAAAAAAACCTATCATCATCATATACATTTTTGGAAAGGAAATGCTTGTGAGGAATAGCCAGCTCTGGTGGCAGGAAATGACAAACATTGGGAGAGCAACATTTTCAAGGCTGGATAAAAGTTTGAAGTGAGCCAAAATACTAAAATGTAAGCAAATGTAAAACCAATTGACTCAAGAAGGGAAAACAGCACAAATCAGACATACACTTTCTATCCACTCCAAGATACGTGAACTGCACGAAAGCCTATTACGGCAAGTACCTATTTCCCAAAATGAGTGGGGAAATGGATAGCTTTGAAGTAAACATCTATCAAACATTTTACAGTTTGCTCAAATGAGCAATCAGGGGTATTGATGTACACAGGCTTTTAAGTTCAGATCTGTGGTTATGTTCAAAGGGCTTTTACTGACAAATCAAATGAGATGAGCAATCTTTTCAAAACAGAGCAAAGCATCTAATGCCATCTAGAGTAATTTGATGACATCAAGCATTTACACAGTCAGCACAGGGCAACTCTGCATGGAGTTGTCAAACTAATGTACTTCGTATAGTTTGATTTAAAGTAGGTCAAAGATCAGAATAATCAGAAAGGTCAGTATGCAAACCATGGGTACATTGCAATTCCCACACCATTTGCGAGTAGTCAAACGCTGACATTCATGACACATTTCCAGCAAGTGCCCAGGCATGTGGACATTTATAGGAGCCGACTGGGACACAACTAATGAGGCCATCCTGTGGCTCACACAAATACATAAAGCACAGATGCTTTGCTGGTTTTATTTAATTTTCCCACAATGAAGAAATTAGTAGGATCAAACCTGATGCATTACAGAGTGAAAAACACGTGCACACTTATGAGCTCGGAGAGATAATACAATAAAGCAATTAAATCGAGGTGTCCAAGTGGCCCAGTGGTTAGGCCCAATTTGATTCAGCTCGTTACCTTTGCTGCATGTGATACCCCTCTCTATCCAGCTGTTTCCCGTCTTCATCTCTGGTGTAAAACATAAATGTACTTTACATAAAAGCGACATGTGCTATTGTCTTGAATTGTTTCTGTCTGATTACATATTTAGAGAAGGAATACATTTTTCAGTCATTGATCAATGGATGCGATGTTTCACATTTTTACAGTCAGATATTCCTTTTTTTTTTTTATTCCTCTGTCTGTTAATTATTGTCAGTCCTAAAACAGGTTTTTAGACACTACTACCACCAACAACTAGAAAGGGTTGGTGTACTAGATGTTGTGGGGATTGTGGGATATCTCAATATATACAAAGTGGTATTAGGATATGGAAGCATCAAATGTCGTAGCAAGATACCGGATGATTTAAATCAATTGGGGTTAGAAGAAGGATTAATTCTTGGGAAAAATATTTTGCTTTTTCTTTGTGAATTATAATCAGCAGTGGACTTTCAGTTGCAGTTTGAATGACAGCTCATGTATTGTATAATTTTCTGTTAGCACAGTGGCTTGGTTTCTTGAGTTTGAAAGTTCATCTATGACCTCGGAAACAGCTTGACAAAAAAATCTTAACTCAATCGAGTTACAAAAACAACATACTATAACAATTAGTATATACTGAAGTGTACTATGTAGAAAGTATGTAGTATGTAGGGTATGTATAAAACTAGGTCCTAGTTTAAGTCAAGAATTGGACAGAATTGTGTAACACCATCATATACTAAAAGGATGACCAAGGGCTTTAAAAAAAAATACATCTTTTGATTCTTCCTTAGGAGGGTCTGAGATCCTTTTGAATGGCTCTGAACAGCTGGATCACAGCGTCTGTCCACGCCTCTCTCTGCTGTTGGTTGCTTACTCGAGCCAGGGTCTGAGTGGTGTACACCAGGGTCAGCACCGTCCTCTCAAAGTCCTGCCAGCTCAGAGAATACCGACGCTGGGCGAGCTCTGCTGTCAGGCGGCGTATGTCGGAGAGCCTCTTTGGCAGGACATCCTCGCAGATGACCTCCAGTTTCTCCACGCTCCTCAGGGAGGCGAGCTCCTCATCTGGGATCAGCATGGTGTGTTCTCCACCTCGGATCTGCATTCCAGCTAGCAGGATCTTGGAGACATGGGTCCATAAAGAAAATACTCAGGAACTATGTACTTAAACTACTAACCAACTAAATAACTAGCTTGCTACCGAAAACCACCTACTATACCAATCCACCAAAGGCACTTTTTATTTACCTCTTTGTGAAGTGAACGGAAGATATCATAAGATATTAATAAACATTCCTGTTATCAATATCCAGCAAACTTTGGGTAAACACATACTTCACATTTCTGCTCATGATTAGCAGGGAAGCAGCAGTACATAGTGTTTTCATTTTTGTTTTTAGCAGGAGCTTTCAGATGTGGAAGATGGACCAAAAATGTGTGACTTGGACAGATCTTTTACACATTTTCAACATATTTGAATAGGTTTCCAGCGCCGAACCATCGAGCCCTGAACTACTTCAGCAGCCACAGGATCTAAACTGACCTCAAAAAGCAGGTTGACATCCTCCACCGAATGCTGGAACGTGGGGTTGATCAGCGAATATGTCCCACGTTTTATCGTATATGCAGATGGATACAGAGCTAGAACACATAAGAACAAGAAATTAGAGGATTTTAAAGGAGCATTAGAGGATATTCCTTGTATTCAAGGAATTAGGCACCACATTATCCATGCATGTGGGTGGGCCAGAGGTTGACTAAACACAGATACATTACTGCTCAAATATTATGCAAGTGAGATCGAATTGGTCTCCAGCCGTGCAGAGGGTAACTGGTCTTCGACCTGAGCCTCAGATGCTCCTATGTTTACAAGTGGCAGTCGCCAGGGCATGCAGAGGTGAGATATCTGCACTCACAGGGGGGCAGGTGTTGCTGACCTCATTTGGTCAGATTTCAAAGTGTCTGTCAATATGTGTAGCAGACCTAGGATCCTGTAATCGGAGGTGTCCAGATAGAGCTGGAATGAAACCCCTCGCTCTCAGCTAGTAGAAACAATTGCTGCTACCCCATCTCTATGACAAAATACCATGAAATCCATATTTTACTGGAGGTGATAACCAGAGGCAATTCCACATGGTCACACACCTCTTAGCCAGGTAGAAAGTAACTAAGTACATTTACACAAGTACTTTTTTTAAAGTACAATTAAGTTACTGGCACTTTACTACAATGTCATTCTCTGTTATCTACTTTTATTCTTCAGCAATACCTGAGGAAATTATTCTTATCTTATAGCTGTATCTATAAGAATATGAATGCATTCATAGAATTTAGATTTAAGGCAGCATTAAAGTAATAGTTCAACACTTTAGGAAATATGCTTAGTTGCTTTCTTGCTGAGGATTAGATGAGAAGGTTAATCCCACTCTCATATTTGTCTGTTAAATATGAGCCAGCAGGTGGTTAGCTTAGCTTTATTGCTGCAGCAGCAGAACCATACAACCTTATGGGGTCATTGTGGTGACAGTTCCCTATTTACACATCCAGGAAACACAAAGCAGCATTAGCATTCATTTGGAGTTGTATTTCAGACCACCTGATGAATGTAAGTCCACTCTTCACTCTCCTCTAGCTGTTTTGGTATTCACCAACTCCTGAAAAAAATATCTGGCCCTTTAGCTGCTAAATGTGTCACTACATTCACTAGCTTGTTGCTCGCTTTGTTTGTGTGCCGTTTAATGTTGGGCAGCTAGTGTACAGTGGGTTTATTAGAACTTTTTCGCTTTCACTTTTTCGAGTGGGGTGAGACTGAACCTATTTGTCGGCTGTAAAACCAAAACAATGAGGTCAAAGGTGCTAAAGTGCTCTGCTGAGGTGAGGGGAACCGCAGACTTGAGTGAATATTCTCTGTGGGTTGCTCACTATAAGTAACCCCCCCCAAAACGATTGATTAGTGCAGCTTTAATTGCTTAATTCAGCACCACTGAATCAACTACAATATGAAAAGATTTTTGAATAGAAGTGTAGATCTTAAAGGATTCCAATACTTATTACACCATTCACCTTATTTGTGTGATCTAGTGGCATTGTTTCTTTAAATAACTGAAATTTAGTACTTTATTTGTATGAGGACCTAAAGAAATACAAGTGGGGAAAGTACATTTATTTTTTTTAGCTTTTATCAACTCAAAGAGCCATTTTTCTCTAAATTCTCTAAATTCTTAATGAAATCAGAAGGACATATCTGTGTACAAAGACTTCTTTATGAACTAGCCTGATTTTCAAACCCCATATATGATAATGAGCACTACTGGTAATGCTTTGGGAGGTTGAAATAAAAAGGATGAGAAAAGAAAGTAGAGAGGTCACACAAGTTCCCTCCCATACCGTTTGTAAATTGACTACTATTGCTGCCCAGACTCTTTAAATGTGTTAGTACTGTATTATAACACGATTTAATGTGTGACACACTCCAAGACCAATTTGATGACACTGCTTCAGGAGAACAAAGTGAAAAGCTTCTCCAGACATCTCACTCTCTTTTTTCCACTGTTTCACATATATGGTTGCAATCCAGGACTTGGCTCAGTGTGTAACCCAGCACACAGATCACACACAGATCTTAATGAGGTATACACTACAATCGGAGGGGTTTCATCAGATTTCTGATCCAATTGTGCAGTAATGATCAGCCCCGCTGCCCTCAGCCTTTCCAGCCGGCCAGATACATTTACCTTTATAGCATTTGTGAGGCCAGCCAAAGCCGCATGCACTGGCTGATCTCCCCTGTGTACCTGTTTGAGTGACTGCCAGTCTCAGTTCCAGCTTTACTTTCACAACCCAGCCACCATTCTGAATGTAAAGAAAATCTGTAGCTGCTCCAGTGTAAGATTAATAAAACCCACCAATCTGTTACATTTGTGTTATCCTCACCAATTATCCCACTTATTTCAGCTCTCAAACCTGCCCAAACTAAACAGGGCCATAGCCAAGATTTTATAAACACTGAGGTCAAGAGTCCAAAGTTCTATGGTGCAACCCCACCCCTCTAAAAAATGTTTCAACAGCCACCAAAGAAAGAAAACTTTTTCCCCCATCAACATTGTGTATATAAATTGAATAATCTGCCAATTTGTGAAATGGGAAAAAAACATTAGCTTGCTTTCTTGCCAAGAGTTAGATGAATTGATCGATCCAACTCTCATGTCTGAGAAAATTAAAGTGTTTGTGTCTGCACACAATAACTGTCTCTTGGCTCCAGCTTCATATTTACCATACAGACATGAGTGGATCGAAAATTTCAAACAGCATTTTTTTTTTGTGTGTGTGTGTGTGTCTGTCTGTGTGTGTTTTAGAATATGTTTTGTAAAGCTTATCGCCATACTTTATTAGCAGAAAGGTGTTTCAAGACCTTCTCTGCAATGACGAATTATATGTGAAATTGAGATCAGCCATAAAAAACTCAAATTTAAGTAATTGTAGAATGTAGAAAAAAATGTTGTTTTTAGTCCCACAAACACCAAGGATCAGTACGGAGGACATTTCCCTGGATCCAGCACTGACATGGATCAGGTACTTGTAGGTGAAAATTTACACCCCACGTTGAGTAAGTGACTCCCAAATGCACGATAAGCAGCTGATGAGGAAAGCCTGTGCCGCGATGCTGAAGAGACACTCCAGCTTCGGTGGGGCATTGTCAGTGTAAACAAAACAGCACCCAGGGGAAAAGTGTGCTCATTAGAACAAGGGTTATGTTACTAAAGAATGGAGGAGCTGCAGAGAAGTGACAGCTTGCAGACCAACCCAATGCTGACTTACATTTAAAATTAATTATCTGTGATTTACATAAAAGTTGTCTTCTACTTTCTGCCATTGTTTGTTTTTTATACATTCTATGGTTGTAACACAACAGTCCTTTGGCATGCAGGAAATGTTTCTAGTAGGGAAACAGCAGTTTGGTATTAAACTGTTGTTCCTGGATAATGCTCACATGGTTGGAGCAGCACTGATGTGGACACAGAAACAGGCCATGTGTCTTATAACGTTGATGAAGCTACAAACAAAAAATGAAGAAGACAATCAATTTAATGTGGCACATTTGTGTGTCACATTAAATTGGAATGCAAGAATTCAGCTTTGGTGAACTTTGACGGGCAAATTCCCGCCCTTGACCAATTGCAAACCATTTGACAGTTCTGACCTTTGTGGGAATGGAGAGCTCAAAATGTCTAAAATGAAGAAAGCTGTGTGTTGCACCATCCACTTTTATTTAACCTTCCTTTGTTGGAGTATAAACTGCTCCACAGAGGAATGGTTTGCAAACTGTAATAAGACAGGAGTTTATAGTACATATATACCTTTGAATAGATTTTGTAAACTCATTGTCCCGTTAGCGACCAAGCTAACTTGCTTGGAACACATTTTTTTCCCCCCTTCAGTAACCAATGAAATGGTGTACAATCTGGAGAACAAAATGCCGGGGGGAGTAAACGGCACAGTACCGAGAAAACAGAAAGCTAGGGGAGCTTTTGTTACTGACTAGCGATAGCTGGCTAGTATTAGCAGCTAGCTCACTAACTACAGTAGTTTACCCTAGCACTGTAGTCTCTCTGTCACCAAGCGGCTTTCTGGTGACCAGGCCTGTAGTGTTTGGCAGATAACAGAGGTCAAAAGGTGCAGAAAGGCTAAGAGTTGCAAGACAAAATTCTTAAAGTTAAGGGACCCTCAACATAACTAAAATATGAAAAGAAATTTAAAAATTGATGCGGTAAAAATCTCCCCCTTCAGTCCATATCCTTTTCTTTCTCTAAATATTCTTGGCTACTATACTACATCTTTTCCTTAGAAAAGATGATGCCGTGTTGATGTGAGACATGATGGTAGTGATGGGAAAGATTCCCATGTTTATGACAAATGTGACAACTCAAGACTATTGTAGGTCTATACTTGCCGATCTGGTCGTATGAAGGCTAAAAATACAGCGCGTTGACAATATTACAGCATATCCATTACATGTTGGTTAAATCACCTTGAACAGCAGACTTTGGCTGATTTCAAGTGTCCATATTTGTTCAGTTTTTAGGCACTTCCTTATAATTTAGTCATACCAGAGTTTTCATCAGTGTCCTTTACTACTTGTTTATTTACATTAATGACGATCACTTTTACAAGTCTGAAAGTGGTCCCTGCACTATATTCCCAATTTAAGAGTAAAAGAGATGTGTTAAAGTTTTTAAACGTTTTAACATGTTAATGCTGGGGAACAAACAAACATAAGGTGACCATTGTTCCTCCCCATCCAGCGCTCCACACAATCAGTGTTTGGATAGGCAGGGTTCCTACATTGTCATTATGCACAGGCAGGGAACTTGTAATCTCCAGTTTACTGCTTGCAAGGAGATGAGGGAACAACAAAGATCCATTAATTAGCAGGGCTAAATGCTATTCCAGGCTGGAGGGATGTCTTGATGAGAGAGAGCGGGAGAGGGAAAAACAAACAAAACAAAAACAGAATGGACGTCTGGATCCCTCCGGCTTATGGTAAAAGGGGGTAAAAAGGACATGGGAAAGAATAAAATCTTTGCCTGAATGGCCCATCTACTGGTTAGCATTTAAATTCACCTTGAATCATTCACTTTTTCCAGCAATTCAGATACAAAATGTACCACAATGTAAACACAGACTTCCCTATCCATTCCCCCTGTGAGAAAAAAATCTATGTGAGGCTAAGCTGCAATAAAGTCACTTAGTATCGCAAGGGAAGACGAGATAGGATTTGACACTGTGGATATTAGAATACTCGGGACACTAGTGATGATTGGAGACAATGGAGAATGGTCACATAAGTCCAATTTCCACCGACCAAATACTGTCCTTCACAATGACCCAGGAAGGGTAACTGTGCTTTACATAAGCTTAGCCCTTTAACACGCACACCCATTATAAGGTTGAGCTGCCTAAATAATGAAACAAATGGACTGGATGTAGGTTTTAGTAACATACTCTGTCTGACATTTTAGCTGGATGGTTTTTATTACAGGTTATCTTTTTTTAAATAACTACAATGACCAAAGAGATGAAACTCTCCAAGTTCTACATACAGTAGTGCTGGGTGGCAAAATGTTAAGTAAGTGACATTCCCTTACAATGCATGCAATGCAGTCCGCTTAGACAAATTTCTGGAAATTTGGTGAGCAAAAAGTTTCTATTTATTACACAATTTAAAATCCTCCTGTACGCTGCCTGCCCGGCACCAAACGGCAGACAGACAAAGTTAGCAACTAGCTGGTGAATATAGCGGAGCATTTAGCAGCTAAAAAACAGATATTTCCCTCAGGAGTAGGTACAGGCCAAGCAAGAGTTAAAAGAAGAATGACTATTGGACCTACATTCATCAAGTGGCCAAAAACAAAAAGTGCTAACATGCTAATGTTGCACAGTGTCAGCTGCATATGTAAATAGGCAAATGTTTTCAAGGATGTTTGCTGCAAATGGTGATAATATGTCAGTGTTTAGTGGCAAAAAATGTTCTCTAGCTGGTTTTAGCATCATGTTTCTTATCCAAAGATTTAAGTAATGTGAGTCTTGAGAAAGGAATTTCCTTAGTGAGTGGATCCAGTAACAACAGGCCAGTCACTTTTCAGTGGAAAATTAGCTGCTCATGTCCTGCATGTCGCAGTGTTCCTGATATCTCCGGAAGATAAACACATTCTTGCACAGACACACACACACACATACACAGAAACTGAACCATCATGAATGTTAGTTTCCATTTTCTGATAGGCATTTATCTTTAAAAAGGGGAATGCAAATTACTGCAATTTGTGTGTAAGGGATCACTCAGATAAACTTTTTACATGATGTTGTCATTATGGCCGATAAAAGATAAAAAGAGATATAATGTATGAATGGAGCAGGTGAATCTGTACAGCCTCTCAAAGTCCACCTACCTTTCCTGTGGTGCTGAGTGGCTGCCAGGTTGATGGACAGGTAAACGGCGATGAGTGGAGCCCACGACTGCGTCATGTTGATGATCCTCACACACAGATCTAGTCACACTACTCAACATACACTCAAACACAAATGAACATTACAACAGTGGATGAAAATGCTCCGACTGAGCTTTGGTATTTCACATGCACTAGTTTCATATGCCGGATCATGCCTTCATTGCCTCTAATCATTTTTCTTTTCCCTCCGCCCTCCATCCTTCCTCTCTCCCTGTCTTTTTTTTTTGTATGCGTTTGTTCTCCACTCAGGCCAGGCTGTCTGGGCTCTCATCTGGAAATCATCAGGATTTGGGTAGCGCCTGCCCTCTTGGCTAGACTTTTCTCAGCTACCGGCTGACTGCTCGACTGGCTGACTGCTTCAATTACTGAGTGACTCTCCAAATGACTGGACAACTATGTGACTGGATGAGTGGCTGACTGACTTGCTGATTGATTGACTCAGCTGATGGCATCCCATGAGCCAGAAGCAAACCAGTGCTTCAACAAGAGATGGTGCTTTTGGTGAATCAAGCATCCTTTTCAGCTATGACTCCAGTCTCTTGGGTCTTACTTTCATTATTTTGGCCATTATTTCTATTGGTTCTGATAACATTGTACACAGTGTTCTGGGAAACAGGAAACAGCCGGTCTGTAAAATTTGATAATGGACACTTTCAGTTCACTTTAAGTTTCAATTCCAAGTAAGTTTTGCTAACATGGGTCTTTTTTTTTTGGTCAGCTCTTGGTGTAGTCAGTCGGACAGTCCACCACATTGGTCAAGACTAAAATATCTCAGCAGCTCTTGGATGGGTTGTAAGATAATTTTGTATAGACATTCATGACCTCCAAATGAATCCTGTGATGATCCCATAACTTCCTTTAGCGCAACCATAAAGTTGACATTTGTGAATTTGAGTGAAATTATATTATATATATATATATATATATATATATATATATATATATATATATATAGATGGATTGCCATTTAACTGTGTACATTCATTGTAATAACTTTTGTTTTTACAATGAATGTACACAGTTAAATTTTGTTGTTAAGTTTCATGTGGTGAGGTCAAATGTTTATGTCCAATGCTTAAGTTTATGACCAAATACATGCAAAAATAAATACATTCTCATAAGCCTCAGCTGTACTTTGTGCTTAATACTAATTAGTAACTATGCGAACATGGTAAACAGTATACCTGCTAAACATAACAATCAGAATTGTTATTTTGAGCATGTTAGCATTGCTCAAAGCACATCTGTGTCTAAGTAAAGCCTCACAGAGCTGTTAGCATGGCTGTAGACTAGTTCAAAGGCGTACGATCATCTGACCTCTCATGTGTCTTGCCCCGTTGGACTACATTTTAGCGATGTTGCCATGCTGAGTACAATGTTACCATAACAATCAAAATCCTAGATTGATTTATAAAATGAGTTATTACACCAAGATCCAAGTTGTAATCTTTTCTTTTTTTTTTTATGAATTTTAATGAAAATGGAACTCGTGTTTCTCCCTTCTACACAGACCTTTCTTTTAATGTGCTTTGACTTTAATTGCAGAAAGAACAAGGCCTTAAAAGGCCTGTTTGACTGCAGGTAGCTCACAGCAACCAGACGACGATGAAACACAGACTGAGGCAGACGGAGACAATAGCTACATGTTGACTGTCAACATCAACAGCTACACGAGGACCACTCAGAGCATCTTGATTCAAGGCCATCAAGACTCTTTCCACGTCTTTATTCTCTCTCCTCCACAGCCTCTTCTGCTCTTTGTTGTCCCAGAATATGTGCAATAAACGCACAGTCCCCGTTCTGGTGCCAAAGCATATAATAGACTGTGGAGGTGCTCTGGATTTCAGATGGTTCGCTGTCTTGGCTGAGCCTCTAAGGCTGCATCTGCTAAATAGAATGAAGATAATATTCCAGTAATGGTCTTGTGTAAAAGGAGTTAAAAAGAAGGGCACTCATATTCAATCAGTAGATTAGAGAGCAACAATTAATTATTCAAATAGAGGCTGCAGAGATCAAACTTAAATGTTTATTCTAACAATGTAACACAGATAAGAGCCCACTGTTCCTCATCAAGCTGTGCTGTTGGAATAAACAATGAAGCCTGGTATCTGTGCACAGTTATCATCACCTTTTCAAATAGTAAGCCACTAAATTTTTTCAGATAAATATTCCCTCTTGTCAAAAGCGTTAGCATCAGCAAGTCACAAAATGCAATCATAAACGGCGGCACGAGACGAGTGGGGCTCCCATTTCATTTCAGCGACGATAAAAATATTGAGTGGACATGTGGGAGCCATAACTCCGTTTATCTGGATACTTTTAGAGCGATTTGGTGTCTCTGTGGGAAATAAGTTGACAAGGACTCTGCATTTGTGCGCTCCATATTAATGCTCCAAAAAAATTACGCTAGTAAATAAAGTGAGAAGCAGAGGCAGAGGGATTTTATAATGCAACACAATGAAGAAACGGCTCTGCCTGCTTGATGAGGAGACATTAAACATAATCTTGTTAATCTAGTGGCATTCCAAGGTCTGATTAATCTACATATGCTGGATGACTTTAATTTTGCTCTACTGCTGCTATATGTTTCATTGAATATTTCCGTACAGCAGATGGGCAACCAAGGTATGATAGCAATTTTAGTTTTTTTAAAGCCTGCAGGACAAAAAAAAAACAAAAACACATTTACATGGATGAGCATGCAGGAAGAATGCACCTCAGTGGACAAGCTGTAACTCTTGTCTACATGTGATTCACATAAGTAACGCATAAAGAGAAGGCAGGCGGCATTCTGAGGGCCAAAACATAAGCCAAAAGCTGCATTTTCTTCAGCTCATGTCTATACAGCAATATTTTGTGTTTGCCTGCAGGTGCAACTGCTGTAGGACAAGAAAAATGGTACTGACCCCTATAAGTGCGGAGTTATAAACACAAACACACAGCCATACACAGATGCACTGTACAAAATTGGTCATGGCCATGAGGGGGCAGTGTTACAACACACATCCTGAGAGATGAACAACTACCTAACTTATCCAAATCAAAGATCCTGCAGTGATTGCTGCTGCTCCCCAACTCTTTTGGTGATGCTGCATGAATTCAGAAATAATTGAAATCTATTCAGATAAGGTCTGACAATATGAATGCAGACACTTAACAGAGATCAAAGGGTTGTTTGGGTTCAAACCAGGTGGGGACCCTCGAGACATCCTTTAGTTTAATTGCTTCTGTGCTGTAAATCACTGGAATGCCTAAAATATGCAAATTGATATGAGGCCACTGTACATCTGAACTTGCATGAGGCTTGCTTAATAGCCAAATTGCTATCACACAAAAAGTCTGCAGCTGCAGTTTTATCTTACAAAGCTGTGAGTCGGGATAATAGGTAAACACCTGACCTGAGATTTGCAAATATAGAAAATGCTAAGATGTGTAATACTGAGGTTTTGCACTTCTTTCCAGTTGAGGGATTGTGACTCATGGGGAGTGTTTTGAGTAATAGCTTAAAGTGAAAGCCATGTTATAATATATTGAGTATTGCTTCTGACAGATTGCAGGAACTGAAGCCTGGAGGCCACAACAGGAGGCTGTATGAACTCAATTTAAAACACACTAGCTTCCTGGAGGACAGCCTCCAGCTATGAACTGAGTAGTATGTATATTGTTATTATACTGCAGTTCACTTCTGCAGTGTTTACATTCTGTGTAAAGCCAAAGCCAAAGCCTTTAAGAGGTTAGGAGTTAGAAATTGTAATTATTTTTAATCCCAAACCAAAGCTATGCTGAAAAGCTTTTTGCCTTTGTCAGGCTTTCATTGTAAATGAGACTTTGTTGTTGCTTGATCCAAAAGGTTGAAAAGAGGTAAAAATAAAACAAGAGACAACAGAGGCAAGTTGAAAATTATTTTGTGGAAGATCATATTAACTTAAATAAACAAATAAGAGCAGAAAATCTGAAAAAAAGCGGGTACAGGGTGCAAGAGAAAGGTGTATCATGAGGATAATTTGCTTTCAGAAAGCTTGACTGAGAGAGAAAACGGAGAAAAGGTTTGAGAACAGTTGGAATTTAACTCTTTGAAAGTTTAAAACCAAGATTTATTGATTGACCATAGTTAATGGCTGCATGGCAGCCATCACAACAAGTGAGGCCCGTGAGAGAATAGGCTGTCTAGCATGTCTCTATAGCTGGCAGGAGGTGCATCACGCATCAAAACAACTCAACAAAATACTGAGTGTATGAGTGTTCAACCACAATGCCTAATCATCATACCTCAAGCAGAATAATTACCTCAACTGTCCATCACACCTCTGCAAACAATTTCATCAAGGCCCATCTGAATACAAGCACAGCTCAGCGTTGAGTCTTTAAATTGAGTTGGCATGTCTTGGACAGCTTGCATTATCATGGTTGGCCCTGGTGGGTGCCGGGTGTCTCAAAAAAACCCCCAAACCCCTTGTGTGCCTGATATATACTGCACACTGGAGAGGAGACGGCTGCAGCAGCCTTCGTCTAAATACTCCACATGTCTCATTACTGTGGCATCCACTATTTATTACAAAACAATATTGTAATTAGTCTTGGTGAAGTTCACGTCGCTAATTTCCTCTTTTGTTCTCCTGCTTGTACTTTCTGACCAATTCATTTATAACGACCTGATTCATGGACCAGATGGCAGCCACGGTTACAATTTGTAAGGAAAATAAACTGTCCAAGCAGCTTTAATTATGGTCACAGTCAACAACAAGAAGGATTGCATGGTGATTTTATAAAATACTCATCACTTGTAGAACCTGTTGAGCTTTAACTGAGATGAGGTTTGCTCATAGAACTGTAGCTGTTAATACTTTCCATTATTGTGAGCACTTTCGAGGTTTCTGTTGGCTTCATGTTGGCTTAAAAGTTAAGCTTGACAGTTCATTATTGACCTTGGGCGCAGCTGTTGAATCTCAAAACATACACACAGATTGTCTACATGGCAATACTTTGTGGTAATTTCATAATTTTACATTTTGTTGAAAATGTGAACCACTAAAATACAATGAAAACTGTAATGGTAAATTAAAGTGGCTTCTGCATTTCTACCTTATCTTGAGGCCATATCTCAATATAGTTTTCAGTTGATATTATCTACATTCTTAAAAAAAAAAAAGTATATCAAACTTCCTGGAAAACAGCAAAACTATGGCAGTAGTATTCCTGTGAAGGAAAACTAGCTGATTTCTGGGGCT